GCAGACTCCAATTAGGAAGTCGAAATTTTCCTCGATTTGGGATTCAAGTTAAACCGGTGACTTGGGACACCAAAAGCCAATCCTATCCCAAGTGGCGACTCTGATAAATAAATAATCCCATTTCGAATAATGTCACTTTAAATGGAAAAATTCCCTTATACATTATCCTTCGGGGTAGATGTGTAAAAAAGGAGGTGTGAAAAATATTGATTCAATGCTTCAAACTAGTTCATGCTTCACTGATTCATCTTTTAGATTCGATTTATTTGGTATAACATTTTGTTGATTTAGGTTTTCTGAAGTTCATTATGAAATTAGCTCATTTTAGGCTCTTAAGTGTCTAGAAATTCTATGTTTTGCTGTTTGATTTACATAAGAATGCTCATGTGTGTTTGCCCTGATTTGTAAGTCCTTAGAACTTATAGGGACCTAATTGAACTAAAAAAAACTTAGGGCAATTTTCAGAAAATGTCTAGTAAGAGGAAGCTTCTAGAAATGGTACAGCTGTCCTAGTTGTTACAAAAGATGCTGAAATAGGATAAGAAGGGCAGCTGTATTGTACTATTTTTAGGGATTAAGATAAGGAATATACCCAAAATATACCCTCCCTAGGCAGCCTATATATGTAGGCCATTACATTCCGAAAAAGACAATTTGAGCATTATTCTCTGCATAGAAATTCCTGAAAACACAGCTGATTTCAAAAACCTTAGAAAATACTCTCTCAAGTTTAGCTACCTTTTTTAAAAGAGAGAGTTCAGTTCCTTGGCTTCTGATTTTCAACAAAAAAAACATTCAAAATCTCTTATTTTCTGGTCTTCATAAGCTGGGAAACATGGCTTGAAGTGGAGGTCTTTCTTGGTTTTCTTGGGGAATACTGGTTCTTAGCTGCTGTAGCTGGTTGTGGAAGTCTGGCTCTTGATTCTGATTGTTGATTTTGAAATCTGTGACTGCTCTTTTGTTCTAAGCTTTCAGACACTTAGTCATCTATTGGTTGCTGATTTTTGCTGCTGTTTCTAGGTATTTAACCTCAGCTCTTTCTACATGTAATACCTTAATGATTATTGATATAAAACTTAGAATTGGCATGTGTAGAAATAGTTGTCTTTCATGATATCAGTAGTTTTCATTGATATGGATTTGATTTAACTCTGTTTATGTGAAGTTTGAGGTGACTTGTATGAACAACTTGGTCAATATCTGAATACTGCCTTTTATCCTGAAAACAGTTATGTTGTGATGATGTGTCGTTAGAAATTCTGTTTTGTTAATGCTGACTATGAAGTTCAGTCGTGCTTTTCTCATCTTTCTTCTATCTAAATGAATGGTCTGCTATTTACTCAAGGATTTTTGTTTTTGTCTGTTGGTCATGAGCTGTTTCCTGCAGATTTGGTCACTAGTTGGCCAAATCAGCGGGTACTAGAAGCTGAAATTTAGAACCATACTATGTGGTATGAATCTGATGCTCTTCATGGAGGAAGCCAAGCTTGTGATGGACAAGTCATGTCCAAAAGAGGCAAGGATTAGTTAGGTTACTAAAATTGTAATAGAATAGTTTTGTTAACATTAGTAGTTTATGTATTAATAATCTTATGTAACATGCTTTGGATTTCTGGAAAAATTTCTTTCTTATTTTATTTGGGCTGCTGTAATGAATCAGATTTCAATGTCATGTAGTTAAGGATCAAAACAGTAGCTTTAGGACTATATTTTTTTTGTCATTACATTATCGTAAGTGTAGTGGAACAGGCCTTGAGCCCAATCCGTGATGGTAAAAGGGCTATCTTCAAATTCAAATGGGTTGAAGCTGTGAGTAAGCCCAGGTGGAAAATTACCCCTAAGTGAATCCGGGCTTCGATCATTGGGCCTGAGCGATAAGCCTAAGAATTTGGTTTATTCGTAAAAGGTTCTTTATCAGCTATACTATAAATATATGTTTTGTTGCAAACTGTGTAGTCAATGGTTGAACTAGAATTACGCTGTATATTTCTGGTTTTATTTTAAAGCTTAGTTGATTTCATTTTTAATCGTTACAAATATGTGAGTAGCGGTCAGAGGTAAGGGTGGATAGGCCCAGCCAGAAAAACATAGTAACTGGGTCCGCCTGGTATTGGCCCAATGTGGGCAAGAACTTGTTTAAATTTTCAACAAAGGCAAGAGCTTTCAAGCTCCTTCTCTGCTGGGCCAAGCCTTAGGCCCAGATGCAACTCCTTGTAAAGCTGAACCATTTTTCCTAATTTAATTAAGCCCAAGCCAAAATCCCTTCCCAAAAAGATTAACTTAGACTTAGCCCTTCTAATTAGGTGTAACTTTCCTCTAAAAAAAGGCAATAATTCGAGGTGTGCCATACCAAACAAAACCTATAATTCATGGCCCTCGTAAAATTAGATCAAGAGTTAACCCTTATAAAAAAAGATTTGAGGTGTGCCATAAATAAATTAAATCATTCATGGCCCTCACAAATGTTGCTATTAAAAATTGAATCCTCGTAGTTGCTTTAGACACGTTAATTAATTAATTCATCATATGCATTTCATGTAGCGTGGTTTAAGACGTATTTTAAATAGCATTGAATTTTCCTAAAAGGTAAAAGCGGTTTTAAAAGTTGTAAAAATGCACAATAGGTTTAAAACATGGAATAAATGAGATAATAGGCCAAATATTAATAGTTTAAGCGACCGTGCTAGAACCACGGAACCCGGGAATGCCTAATACCTTCTCCCGGGTTAACAGAATTCCTTACTTAGAATTTCTGGTTCGCAGGCTTTTAAAATAAAGTCAAAATTTCCTCGATTTGAGATTTTAAAATAAAACCGGTGACTTGGGACACCCAAATAAAGTATTCCAAGTGGCGACTCTAAAAAATTAAAAAATAATCCCATTTCGAATAATGTCACTTAAATTGCAAAAAACTCCCTTGTACTCCCCCTCGGGTGGTAAAAAAGGAGGTGTGACACCAACGAGGGGTCCTTACATATGATTATAAAAGCCCACAAAGGGTCCTTACACAGAAACAAAGAAGCGAAAAGGTACACGTATAGTAAAAGCCTAGAGCCTAGCCTACTCTCAAAGGTGATTCCTCGGCAGCCGCATCTTCGAGCGTCATCTCCTCGGGCATGCATCCTCGGCGGCAGTGTTTTCGACCGCCACCTCCTCTAGGACCTCATCTCGATCCTCTAGAGTAATATCTCCGAGGGCGAAGATGAAAAAGAGGAAAATGAGGAGAGAACGAAGATAGAAGTGAGGCGGAAGAAGTAGAAAAAAGAGACATAGCCCGCCGAAGCCAAAGGTTGAAGATTCGGCGGGCACCTACCCTACTTGCACGGTCGCTCTAAGTCCACCTTCTGGGACATAGTGCCGTGCAATTTTATCAGCCGGTCGTGCCATTTTGTCCCTTGGAAAACCCAGGGGATGAAGTGCCACACCAGGCCAGGGTAGGAGAGAGCAGCGGTGTATAGTCCGAACGCTCTCCCGAGCAGCGGTGTAAGGGTCCGAACGTCCCCTTAAGTTGGAAGAAGTCGGACCCCCCATCTCATCACCTCGAACCAACGACGACAACCGCAACAACCGCAACAACAGCAACAACAGCGACAAGACAATGTAATCTCGCTCGGTAAGGGAAAGCCCAGACAAAAGTCCATGGCATGGCCGATGAGAACGCCGCCATATAACCTTAAGGCCATAGACCCTAAACATGGTGGGTAGCAATGGAGGAGAACAGTGGGGAGAAAGGGATGAAAAGAGGTTGAAAGGCACTTGGACAGAGAGATAGTGCCGGAAGGCCCCCATTTATAAAGGGTGATAATATGGCCAACGATGCCATCAATGCCTTTGAAAGACGGATCCACAGACGCAATCAATGCGTTATTGAAAATCGAGTCGACGGCGATACTATCGCTTTAAAGAATGGGAATCGGTAGCGCATTAAATAACGCTGAAAAGACAAGTCCATGGGACGTTCCGGTTATCGTGAAGGCTTACAGCATAAGATGATATCATCGGTATGACATCATCGCGGGAAGTCCGAAGAGTTGGATGTCAAAATCGTTTCTTATCACTCCTCTCTAAGAAACGCGGGGACTATCTGTATATGGTGAAATCGGAGGGTCCAATTTCTCATCATTAAGGCACTCGGAAGATCACCTCGACGGCTCGAGGCCGCGGCCGAGTATCTTTCCTCGAGGGTCGACAACACTCGACCCCAGGGTAGTAATGATCACGGTAATGGTGGAAATGGGGAGTTTCCAAGGCACGCGGCTAGGTCTGACACAGTCTAGCGGGCTACTCTGAACCCGAATCAGGGCGTCATTCAGCCGTCCCATCCCCATATCTATATAACTAATGTATTTTGTACTATGTGGGAATTTCCCTCCTATATAAAGGGAGTCCTTGTAATTTTGTTAGGATCTGTTGCTTCAGCTGCTCCATAAGAAATATAAGACAACATTCTCTGTGCTCTCTTACATATTCTCTTGATATTATTACTCCCATTTATTATCTTTATTATTGTTCATCATTTATTACTTATCATTGGCCATAAAGAGCCTTCTTTGATTTTATTATAACTGTTAGTCATACTTCGATTACCTTCGATAGCTCACAGTCGAGCCCCGGAATCGACCTCGAGGCCCCCGAATCGACAAGCTCGAGGCTCGATTGCTAACCTATCGGTTTGACCATCACCTTATCCTTAGCTCTTATTTCGTTTCCAAGTCTCACATACCTAGCATCAACTCCTTAACAACCGGCATAAAAATAGATCACGTATTTTTAGAGTCCCATAATCTAATTTAATTGTTGTTACCATTTTCACGGTAAACAGGTATAAAATTCGAATCTTATATCCTGAATTCTAAATAAGCAGCTCAAAAATTTAAGATTCTTAGTCGTGAAATTTGAGTGAATTAGCTACTCTTTAAATAAATTATAAATTATAAATTATGGATATATTTTAAGTGGCTAGTGGAGCACTACGCCCTTTATAATGACTTGATCCGGCCCAGATGTTCCAGTTTGGCGGGAAAAGAAGAGAAAAGAAATGAGCTCGTCGGCGGTTGAGCCGGAATCTCCCGATCTAGTGTGCCAACTTGACAAGGTTCAAGGCGTCGTCGACGCCCTCACCTCCGTCCGCTGGAAACGCCACCAGGTTCCTTCTTCCCCACTCCCATTATTAACTTCTTTTGCACAGCAAAATACTCCTAACATTCCAATTCGGTATCACTAATTGCCAACAACACCATCAGGATGCAGTTGTGGAGCTTTCGGAACACGGCATAGTGTTAATTGTTGAGGAAACCGCTTGTCTTCAGGCCAAAGTTTACTTGCAACGAGAGGTTTTGAAATTTCTGTATTGTCTCCGTATTTTCTACCTGTTTAAGTTATGTGAAATTTTTAGTTTTTTCTGATGCGGAATTAGGTTTTCTTTTTCTGTAGTTATTTGTTCGTTACGAATATAGCGCAGAAGGGAGGCCCCGTTTCGGAGTGAGCTTAGGGTTATTTGTTGATTGCTTGAATACGTTTTCGGTTCCAGGACATTCAAGTGCTATTGAAATATGCTATCCTGGTCCTGATATGCAACTTCTTCTCAAGTAATTATTCTCTGAGCCTCGCTCTCTCTAATTAGGTTGTCCAATAGCTTTTGAAAGTTGGCAGTTTTATTATGCTTGTTTGAAAATGCAAAATGGTTTTGCTAGGGTTGTTTTCAAATGCATTGTTAATTGACTAGATAGAGTAAAATTCAGAAGGTTGACATAGTGAATTAAGACCTACTTAGCACCCAAAAGACGAAGAAGAGGGGAGAAAATGGAACTGAAGCATGGAAAAACAAAAGCATCTTCCCCCACTTTCCCGGTGTTTCCGACAGGGTAGATCTAAAATTTGAAGATGATGCTGGACTTCTTAATATAATACATACTTTTAAAAGTTCTTTAAAATTTGTATTTACATTTATAATAATTCGAGTATGATACAGTGAGTCCTGAGTGCACTGCTTATATGTTGGATTCACCTTTGATCTCAAGGTCGTATCAAATTACTTGGCATTTTAATTAGCATAAACGTGAATTAGTGACAGAACAAGTCTTTTTTCCATTTATGCATGGCTTTTTAGAGAACACTGTTTTTTTCTTCGTGTACATCTGCCTTTTATTAAGTGGAAGTTTAGAAAGACCTCAATAAAGAGATAAAGTGAAATGGTAGTTGTCAATGTCTTTGTAATTGAGTAGTTTCGCCATTTAAGTCAATGTTAATGAATCACATCTTCTACAAATTCTGTTATAAAGTGTTATCCATGCATTGACTGATAGAGGAGTTATGTGGAATCTTCAAAACAAAATCACTTTATCTTTAGGCACATTCTGCGTATTCCCAAGTTTTCTCTCCCTGGATAAGCACCATTGGCTAGCTTTAAAGTTTTGTAACCTATTTTCCTAATTCCAAAGTTAGGTCTGTTGACTCTTCAGGTGCTTGTACTTATGCGGAAATCAGAACAAGGATTCCTGATACAATATCATGGGACTACAATTTTGAACCTGCTGGAAGTACTCCTCTCAGTTTTACTGTGAAGGTAAAATTTCTCTTCGGTAGCAATTACAGAGTAGATCCTGGTATCAGTCGTTGCTGAGCACCAGTCTACAAAAAGCATGTGTCTGTATGCTTCACATCTTATGCACATAGTATATGCTTTTGGACCTTGAGTAACATAAAATTTTCTTATTAAAGATTGCTCTCTGTATGTCCTTTTGTAATTTCTTTGTATTTATGACTCTGGTTGACATACAATTATATTGATACGATCGTACTAGTTGTTATTTTCCTGATTATGTGCTCATACTGGACAGGATGGACTAAATAATGTATATTAGTCAATTGGAGGAACTCGATTGTTTCCTCATATTCATTGAAAGTTGAGACTTCTGCAGTTCTTCCTCTCTTTAGTCTTTGGGAATCAATGCTATCTATCAGATTAGTGATATATCTAGCTAAATGAGTGAATCTGGTCGTAGGCTGGCCCTGTTGATGTTTGCTATAAAGCTTGCTTCAGTTTTTTTAATGGATTTCTTTAGAGCTGACAAATAGAAAAGGTCTTGTACTTTTTAAGGTCTGGTTTTGTATTCAAGCGAAGTCCTTTCTTTCTTCCAAGACAGTACAGTTGGAACTAGTTCATTTGTTTTCTATTCTTTTATCATTTGAGAAAAGGTCCAAGGGAGACTTCTACGAGGAAACTTGTCAGATATCCGAAAACATTTTAGGCGGTTGCTCATCCATATTTTTGAATTGTGAGGGTTATAGCAATCCTAAGCTTTGATATGGAACATAAGCCTCTTTTGTTGCATGAGGAATAGTTCTTTTTTTTTTTAATCAAATTCCATCATCTCGATGGTGGAGTTAGGCCAGACTCCAACTTGTATATTTCAAAAACTTTGATTACACGGAGGATCATGAGGAATAGTTCACTATATGATTTACATGCCATAAGTAGGGAGTTTGTTGCTGATTTTGTTTTCTGTAAGGTCTTGAATGCAAGGTTTTTTGAAGTGGTAAAAAAGGTTAATAAATTCTCTGTTATTTATTTTGTGGAAAGATCAATCTAAGATGTGCACGTCTTCCTTTTCCTTCCGGTAGTAGTTGCGTATTCTAGTATTTCCATATGCTTAAAAATTTATTACTACTTGGTATTGCCTGTGTTTTGGTTGCTCTACTTCTTTGTTGTTTCGTGATTTTTACAGTACTGTATTTTTTCTCTATACTGTTGTGATTTGCATGCTTGCTTGGAGCTGAGGGTCTACCGGGAACAACCTCTCTACCTGCATAAGGTAGGGGTAAGGTTGCGTACATACTATCCTCCCCAGACCCCTATTTGTGCGATTACACTGAATTTGTTGTTGTTGTTGCTGTATCAATCTAAGATGTCTTTCTGTTGGTTGAATAAAAAACTATTAGCTTTTAAAATTCCCGATCAAAAAGCCATTATGTTTAATTGACTGCAGATGGCCAAGGCAAAGAGGACATTAAATAAATTTGGAGTGAGAAGTTTCTTTGCATTTGTCTAGGATTTAACTTCTCCAGCAATGTCAAGTCGTGAACACCCAAATAGATATAAGTATCATGGAAGCTCATGTGCTAGTGCATACACTATTAAACTAACTCCATTTCCAGTTCCTTGCTCTATAGCACTTTAAATTCGGAAGTTAGGTTTAGTATCTTCCCATAGTTTGGTTAAAGAGCAGTGTAAAGAGAAGTCATCTGTCTCCTTCTATGCCTCTTTCAGGAGGCTGCATCTGGCAATATAACCTAATCTTTTGCTATTAATGTGAACGTTTTGTTCCGGATACTGAAACCAACGTGCCATGCCCGAAAACAAAATTTTGTGCTTGGGTTCAAAAGAGGTGTTTTCCATTTTGACTAATTTTGTCAGTGACTCAGGTCATTTGCAGGAGCAATCAACAAATGCAGGGTAGTGCTCTGTTCATCTGGTTTCCTCTCCACATTCTCTCTAAGGGTTACTTCAGAAAGGAGGGGAGGATAATAATGGGAAGGAAATAGAAGAGGAAGTGAAGGAGATCATTTTTATTTCCTGAGTTTGGTTCAAAGGGACTTGGGGAGGGAAGTAAAGTTATATTCTTCCCTCCTTTGGAAGTTAAAGAAGTTACTCGGAAGTAAAACTTGTGTTTTTCCTCCTTATGCTTCTAACTGGTAAAGCAACAATCAAAAAGAAAAGTTCAGAAATTTCGTGGATTTTGTCTCTCGTTCCCTTTAATCCAAAGAAATAAGAGGTTGTCAGAATTAACTTTTAATAGTTAACAGTCGAGTGTTGGCTTGCTGGTACTTCAAGTCGCATGAGTTGAGCTTAAGCATCTGTTGGAAGTTAGCTTCATGTTTTTGTAAGTGTAAAGTGTCGTAAATTCATACACAGAATGTGTTCTTCGTCCTTTACAGTGTCACACTGTGGTTAGGGCAAAAAGAATTGTGATTGCTTGAAGTCTCAACCATCCTTTACTGTTGAGCTAATTATCACCATGTCATTGGTTCAATTGATAGTCTGCAGCTCTAAAGGAAGCCATAGATGACCTTGAGTGGCCAGGATCAAGCATTCATCTAATCCTACAGCCTACACCACCATCGGTTACCTTTAGAGGTGAAGGTCATGGTGACTTACAGGTAGGGCATGACTTGATGTTTTAGTACCATTCTCTTCTCATATTCTCTGCCCTCTTATGTTTTTAGATTCATCTGTTTTGCAGATAGACTTTATGTGTTATGCCAACACTGATCTTCTGGTTGCATTTCATTGTGATCGTCAAGTCTCTCACAGGTTCTTCTCCTAACAGAATGATATGATAAACCAAATGCTTTACATTTGCGCAAGACTGTATGATCTGATCCAGTTCCTGACATGGACAGGTATAAATACAAATTTCTCCGTGCTACAACCTCAAACATACCCAGCAGTGTCATCCGGGATAATCGAGGAAGTAAGTTGACCATTGGGAGAGGGGGAATGCTCAAAGTTCAGCATCTGGTCTCAGTTGCAAAACCAGCAATGCCTCACCCACATATTGATTCTGCTGGCTATCAGCAACCCAGCCGTATTGCATATATTGAATTCTTTGTCAAGCCAGAGTTTGATGATGACGGTGCGAATGATACATAGGAAGTTCTTGCTTAACAAAATTAGTTGCTCAATGTTCTTATTAAAGGGGATATTGGCAGCTTGATTTAAAAACTTCCTCACGTGTGGAGTTACTATCCTAATTCCTCTGACAGCTTAAGTAGTCAGTGTTAGGATATGCATTGGAGTTGTGTTCTCTTAAAATCAGTGTTTAAGGGATTTGTTTTGCGGATCGTGATATATTCAACTTGTGATGGGTAGACGCAAGACATTAGCATCATGATATTAAGGTTTTTTGCTCACATAAAAAGGTCCAAGTTAGCTCTTCCATGTGAAACAGTACATTAACAAGTGTGCTAGACTTTTCCGGGTTTGTCAAAAAAGAAACATCCACGGAGATAGAATTCTGGCAATGGAAAATCAATCCTGGCAGGAAATCTATATATCTATATCAATATCAATATCAATATATATATATATTAAAGGAATAAAGTTTGCATTGTGGTTAAGCCAAGTGGCTAGCTATTAAGAAGCCACTTGGCAAACTTGGAACAAAGAAATGATTAATTAATGAAAGCAAAATGAAAATAAATTAATTCAAAATTTGATTTATATTCTCACACATACCTTTCTAAGATTTTGAAAGCTTTCCAAAAATAAGGATTTCTATTTAATTGTTATTCACCGTCTACATGAAAAGTTTTAGTTTACTTCATAATTTTTATATTTTTGGAAATATTACGTAAAGAAATAAAATGACAATGAAAATATTACTACAATATTTAAATATAATGTGTTCAAATAATTAAGAAAATATTTTTCTATGATTAATATCTGAATTGAGTGCAGTTAATTTAAGTTTGAAAGCATTACATAATTTTTTGAAAAATGCGGTTAAATTTAAAAATTAGAATGATAAGAATTATTTGAATTTGAGATGTGATTTTTTTTGGAAATATGATAAGAAAAATTATATTTTGGAATATGAACAATAAAGTTAAAGTTACTATCGAAATATTTTTAATTTTTACCTATATTATATTAGAATGAGTTTTGTAGAAATAGATATTAAATTCAAACAAGCTAAGGAAAAGCCACATGACAATGCAATAATATTAGGTATTGAATAATATAAAATAAGGAATAAATAGAAAAAATAAAAAATCAAAATTTTTATCATAGAGAAAAAAGGGTAATACTTATTTAAATTTGAGATGAGAAAGCTTTTTTATATTATGATAAGAAAAGTCATAAAATGGATAAGTCTACATAACTCGAGTCTAATAGATAAAATCATAAACTAAAATATTGAATAATAAAAATAATTTAGAGATAATACGAGTATACTTATAAATCATAAGTTTAGAAAATAAATTAAAGTTAATATACAGTACTTTAAAATATTATTAACTAATTTAAATAATTTAAAATTTTGAGCTATGTTTTTAAAACAAAATAAATATTTATTTTAAGATTTAAAAAATCATATATTTATATATATTATATTAAAAGAGCAGTAGTAGATAATGATATTAAATAAAGTTACCATTAAGTTAAGAAAAGCCACAGAAAACGTCATAAGACTATGAAGGTGTTTGGATTGGCTTTTAAGCTGGTCAAACCAGCTTTTAAGATTTTTTTTAGCTTTTTTCAGTGCTTGGCAAATTTAAAAAAATACTTAAATTTAGTTAAAAACTGCTTAAAACAAGCCAAAAGCAATAAGTTGGGCACCCCAACTTATTGCTTTTTGGCTTAAAAGCTATTTCTGCTGAAAAAAAATACGTTTTTCAAGCCAATCCAAACGGGCTCTATATATTAGATTAAAAGTAGCAAAATTAAATATCTAAAACAATTGCTATTAAAAATTAAAGGAAAAGACTATTTGTATTTGAGATCAGAAAGTTCTTAAAATTATGACGAGAATGCTCAAACTAAGGATAATACCAAGAAATTGAGTCATATTTAAGAAAAATAAAATTGATAAAAAATAAAATTTTAAAAATACAAAATAAATTTCTAATGTAGGTAATTTTACTAATGAAAATTAAAAAATAAATTTTTATCTTAAAAACTGAAAAATAAAGAAAATTTAACTTCACGTAATACGAAGATTATAAGAAGACTCGATACATTTGGAACATAATAATCAAAAAGAATTTATCTATTAATATTTTAGACTAATTCAATGTTACAATTTAAAATAAAATATAATATAATTTTGGTTATGGGTAAAGCATTAGTATAAAAACTAATTAAAATTTATTGTAGGGAAGATAATGTATAAAAAAATAGAGGTAGTGTAAGGATATTTATATTTTAAATTAATTTAAAAATAAATAAATTAAATAATTAAATTATATTTTAAAATACTATTGATAGATTTAAATGATTAAAGAATTTTGAGCAAGAGAATACAAGCATAAATATATATTAAATTTCAAGACTAAGAAAATTATATTTATAGAAACTATTAAAAGGATAATAAGCGAGGCACTAAATTAATTTTTAAGCTAATAAAAGATCATATGATAGTATAAAAATATTAAATAATGAATAATACAATAACTATTAGTAAAGAACAAAAAAGAAAAAAAAAGAAAAAAGAATTTGCGCAAAAATAATGTGATGAATAAGACTTATTTGACTTTCAGATGAAAAACAAATTGATAGTAAGAATTTTGTTGAAATAATATGATCTAATGTGCTTAAACAGGACATATCACAACATTACATATTTAATATTCTTTAATATTGACAGCAAAACGAAATGCAAGTATTAAAATCAAGGGGTTAGGTTGTTACAAATATAGAAAAATATAGGTTGTCCACTACGAAATTTGAACAATAATTTCATATCTTGCTTTTAATTAATATCTAATGATTATATAATTCATATATGGAAAGTTTATATTTTAAGGTTATTTGCACATGATTAAAACAATCTACATCACAATTTGACATGGATTGTGTCAGCTTATCGCGCGGGTACTAATAGTAGTTACAAAGAGTAAACCATAAGAGTTCGATTCACGTCGGGTCTGATCCTGTTTGTTGCTTGATCTCTCAGATATAATTGACACCATTAGATCCGACACCTCCTCTTCTTGGGACTTCACGAGAATGTAACTCTCCAAGACTGAAACAATTGTAGATTGATGTTACATCATCTTCTTAATGAATGTTCCTCTTATTCTTTTGGGTCTAATATTGAGAAAATTTCATAGAAATAATGATTGTGCTCTATACGTGAAATTGTGTTCACGTTCTAGTATCTTGATTCTTGAATTTGGGAACTGATAAATGCTAACCATTTAACTTATGAATCACTTAAGCTAATATATATGGTGCAGTCAAATAACTTCCAATCAGATAAAGGTATTCAGATGCCTTCTCAATGCTAGTTTCCACTTCAACCTTTTCTATGAGTTATATGTTAAAATGCAAATAACTTTCCTATTACCTTTTACCAGATTGGGACTTGGGACCTGTGGAAATTAGTTGATCGGTGGGGACTTTAGTGATATGTATACATGTAATACACATTGGTCCACTGTATCCGACAGGAAATTAGTGTCACATATACATTAAGTATTAACGAAAGGGATCGAAGAAGAGAATATAAAACTATAAGTATGTTGAAGGTTACAACATACAAATATATATACCACTACTAATTCTTTTAAACTGAAGAACTCAATCACTAAAACAGCATAAACGTTCATGTACATGACTAACCGACAATTTTTTGTATGCGTATATCTCTTTCATATAATCAAATTTATGTCTTGTAATTTTATATGCGATTAGTAGTTTATTATTTTTTAGATACAATTAGTTATAATTGACATAGAATAATGTTCAGCGCAAGTATACATTGAAATTTTGGTGTTCATGTGATTCTCACTGCAAAACCTTGATATTTTAGTCACACACAAATATATCACTCGAATTCAAATTGAGATTATAATAAAAGAGAGCAACTATCTTTATAAAGCTTTTTAAAACTCGCGAAGATTTTTTCTTTGTTCATTAAACTTCGAAGTTCGAATCAGAACAAAGATAGAAGGGATTCAACTCTTCTTCGGTGTCAATCAAGGAACGAGTAAGTTTAATGACAATTATAACGGCACAAACTACACCAAATTAGGGGGCAAGTTCATGTCTTCTGCTATTGTCTGAAGCAGTTTGAAGTTTTCTTTTATGCAGTTACATTTTGTATTACTTTGATTTCTAGGTATAAGCTCAACTAATTTTTTTTGTTTTGTTTTGTTATTAATGCATTTAAAATGTTACTATTTCTACGCAAATAGTAGTTAAATATAGGGAAGTATGCTACTATATATACATGAAGCACCCTAAGGGGCCAAAGTAAGTTGAAAAGAAATTCCAAAAAGAGAAGCAACTCAAAGAAATCAAATTCAAGAGCTACAACACTTCATGGAGAAAAATAAGAAATTTGACAATCTTCTTCAAACAAGTGGCTAAATGATAAAAGCAAGCCAAAGATAGAAGCTAGGGAGGGAGGTAACAATTCTGAACCTTGCTTCCAAAGTACTAACTCTAATGGGTTCTATAAATGTCAAGGTTATGATCATTGAATGAGTGGATGCCTTAATAGAATAACCATAACCCTTATATATGGAGAAATCCCGTGAAAGAGAAGAAAGTGATGAACCTTGTAAAGGAAAGGTGGCCGAAAGTGAGGGAGAAGGGGTTTATGATACTCCTAGTTGACTGACGAGCGCAAAACCAATGTATAAAAACTAAAGCTTGTGCTTATCAAAGATAGTATAGAAGATATCATCTCCACCAAAAATGGTTCAAATATTGTTCAAGCAATTCTTATTGATCATTATTCAGGAAAATAAACTCTTGAGTTCGGATGATATGTAAACATGTGAACGCATTCCCAGAAAACATCAATGGTTGTTTTTAGAGAAAAACTTCTTGCTAATATTTTTTGTAGAGAAACATGAACCCTCAACTCCCGACCCTCTTTCAATTACCAAGAGGAAACTGAAGATTGAATTCCAATAAATCATGTGAAATTAATAATCAAATAATTCTCCTTCCGAATGAAAAGAAAGATAATTATACTTGATCCGATCGTAGCACATGGAGTTGAAAATGAAGGGGGGAGGGGGTGAATTGAAAATTTTCTTTTCTTTTACAAGGTAGTTGACTAATTTTCTTTCTAGTCTACTAGATTCTTGATGCGAGAGATATAAACAAAATACAGAATGATAAATAGCAGAAAGTAAATGACACCAGATATTTTATATTGGTTGGATTCAAAGTG